ATTCACATAATTCTGAGTTTTTCGATTTAAATTTTACAAACTTTGATTCTTATTATTTTAATAATCACATACACAAATGTGATCTTCACCCCTTCAGGTGATTCACACTAACATTCAGTATTTCCTGAAGCATTGGGCTTCCATCTAATCACCTCAAACCATCTAACATCAGTTCAGTTTTTTTCTAACCTGGTTACCACATCGCAAACTTGATTAATAAATTGCAGTCACCATTAAGAATTAGGCATGTGATATTGTTTATTCTCTAGCGACCAACAAGCAGAGTCGTTCTTCTTTCATACCTTGAGTTTGAAGTGGAACATTAGCGTTGAAGAATTGAATTTTTGATTTTCCCGTCGATTGATTGTACCGTAGTGCTCGGTCTCAGGTTGACATGTCGGCTTCTCGTGCAGATGCCTCGACGATGTCTGGCCATTTAATTAGTATACAGTTGGTGGATGGTGGCTAGCAGTGGAACCCAGGATGCGTATTTCGTCCTATTTGGGACTCGTCATCTGGATGTACCTGCATTTCTCAGTGAGTGATGATGTTCCCACTGAGGCTCGAACCCAGTGCCCATAGTTTCAAACGCCAAAACGTTATCCACATGTCAACCTGAGACCGAGCACTTCGGTCAAATCAATCGACGGGAAAATCAAAAATTCAATTCAATAATTAATATGACCCGTTGCACAAGAGGTGGCTCTCGTGGCCCAAGTGGTCTAGTGGATAACGCTTTGGCGTTTGAAACTATGGGCACTGGGTTCGAGCCTCAGTGAGAACATTATCACTCACTGAGAAATGCAGGTACATCCAGCTGACGAGTCCCAAATAGGACGAAATGCGCATCCTGGATTCCACTGCTAGCCACTATCCACCAATTGTATATTAGCGCTGAAGCTCTTAAAGATTCATTAGATGTGGTATTTTTTATAGGATGAGTTTGCAAGACTCACACTCAACCTCCCCTTCCTCCAGGATTATTCACAGTTAGTGAACTAAGCAAGATTTAGGGTTGTATTAACTGGGAGTTGAACCTGAACCTTCTATGTGGTTGTCTGGTGTTGTACCGCTGATCTGCTGACAAGCCAAGCAAATATTTTAGTTGTTGTTACTATTTATATTTTAAAAATTTCTTTGGTTTCTTGAATTGTTTTGAAATTTTCAAACTTCAAGTTTGTTTGACAGAATTATCAACGTCAGTCTAAAAGATTAAGAGGACACTCAGATATCTTTTAGCATAAAATTCAGAAGTTATTCGTTTTCACATGTTTAAATGGAACGATCAATATTAAGTAATCATTTTCAGTGAAGCATAACTGAATAACGTTCATGGAACCATGCTCAAAAGAGTGTCAGCTGAAGTTATCACATTTCGAAAATACAAACGTCAAAGTCGAAAAAGGAAGTGGCAGTGAAACCATGATGCACCATAATGTACGGAAGAGAGAACACATAGATGATGGCCACTTGGCTAGGTGGTTCAGTGGTAGAATGCATGCTAACCACTCACGCAGTCCAGGCTGGAATCCCTACTGACTCTTTCCCAAACCTTGCCTACTCTGCCAGCCTGTGGAAAGCTCAGAAGGGAGAAAAAACTGGATGTAAAATTAGCAATACTATCCCTCAGAAACGACACCAACGTTACTGAAACTTCAAATCCTGGGGCTCTGTGTTCCACTAGGAATGCAAAGTAAACGTGAGAAGGAGGAAATCCTGATTAGCGTCTCTGAGATACAAAAAGCTAATGATTGAAGATGTTTGGTGATATCACTCAAAGTGGTTCTCTCTAGCACAAATACACTCACTACTTGTGACCTCTTAGATAAACTAAATTCCCATTACTCTTTATATAATGGTTCTTTCATGTTTATTAAACTTTCTTTAAAGTTCCTCTTACCTTTGATTTTATAAGTTGTGTTACTTGAACTGCTTCATGTTAATACAAAGTTCCACACTGAAAATTCATTTATGTGCAATGACCTGTTACGCAGTAATCCCGCCCTTGCCATTTCAATAGATGGAGTTTTACAATCACGTTGAGTTAATGTTTTGCCTACAAGTCAAAGTTTCACGTCATAGTGCGTCACATAAAGCTAAAAAATGAACACAGGCACACCAATACAATTATCCTAATATTCTTTCACTCTCAAAGGTCTGGCAGCTTTAAGTCAGTAGACAGCTACTCAGTGCACATAGTCGTATATCACACTTGTGTCTAGAATGACATTTATCGGTCAGAGTCAAACGCATCTTCCGAATTGATAATAAAAGTCCATTAACAAACAGTTTAGGTAACCTGATGCTATTTCGAAATAAGCGAGAATAGCAACACCTCCAACCTTTTACTCCTTATTCTTGAGATATGAGGTAGTGCAGACCATTCCCGCAGAGACGTTTTGTAGTTGAAAGAGATGAATCGCAGGAGTTAATAAATTCTACGTTGGAAGCTAGCCTAGTGATTTCAACAGCGAGCTGTGCTTCATTTATTCTTATGATAGTCTAAATCTTTGTTAATGTCGACTAAATAACTCCACGGTTATGTTCATCAAAGCACAGAAAGTGAAGAAACTAGCTCCCAATAGGACAAATACGTATCTGATTTCGGCCTGTCTGACTCAGGCTTCATAGGTAACCCTTCTCTCAAAGCAGACAATTTAATTCGTAGACCTTTCCAACCCACGGTGTTTATTTGACAGAAGGTGTTCACTATGAATATTTACTACTGCATATGAGTGTGACCTGCTACAAGCGCCTTCTATACACTGAAATATAACTGCTACTTTAAAGTCTGCGAATAAACCGATTACATGGGATGGATAAGCTGCCAATAAAGAAAGGACAGCTCTTCCCAGAACTTTCACTGATGTTCCTGAGTTACATTGCATTATCATGAGCAGCACATATAGAAGTGAATGCCCAAAAAGCACTGACTATCATGTGAAAGATTCGAGAATACCGAATTGATTCACTTTCACCACAACTGACTGCGTTATAGCAGTGTTCGATATTAAACAAAGTTTGCAAGTACGGTATTTCGAACAGTTCATCTCTCTTCCTTTAACAGAATCACTAAGGATCACCAGACTCATGGACACCTTGTATTCTCATGATAATCTTATCTACTTCAGCCTTACAGGTTTTCATTTGAATATTTGTTACCACTTACAAGGTGCGAATCTGTAGTTGCTCCAATTAGTGTCATATCTAATAGGTGAAAAACATTTTTCCAAGTTAATTGAGAAACTAAATAATAAATCAAGTTCATCAAGTTCTATTGCCAAGTGTTTCAGGAATGATTCGTCCAATTACTATTATTTCAAAATTCATATGTAAAATAAACCATACACACACTATATTAAAATGCATTGGATCGGGTCCCAGTGGCTCAGTGGTCTACGAGCTCGCCTTGTAACCAGAAGGTTCTGGGTTCCAACCCTGATGGGCGCGTAGTGCTGAGGAGTCCCAAACTAGGGCGAGGGAAACAGCTATCCAGTATTTCCAGGTTTTACAGTGGTTCTCTTACCAATGTCAGCTCATGATGAAATCCTCCATTCAATATATACATAACTCATGGTTGTGACATAACGGTGGTTTTAATTTCCTGTGCTGTAGATACGAATCACATGAACGCAGAGGGCCCGATTATTGATGTGACTGGATCAAACATAAATGACTAGAAACTGAACTTGTACTTGCACAAGTACTGAATATGCGCGCGTAAGCCTGCATATTTTGTTATAATTATACATTTCATGTGTCACTTCCGGGCTTTATGTTCTACCTTGAGTGAATCAGTGTTTCATTTCGGTCTACTGGTCATGTGTATTCCTTCCTGTTTTACAGTTGAAGTTTCTCCAATCGTCACATTAAATATAGTTGTTATATGATATTTATCACTTAAACGGATTAAATGTGATATCAAAATTATAATGGAATTTAGACGGTAGGAATAATGATTTGATTGGACAATATTAACTAATGTGACGTCTCTAGTCCTTTCTTTGTTGCAGACTGTATACTATCAGTTAGATTTTGCAATGTGGCCACCATTCTATGTAGCTCACCATCATGGTGCAAATCGATTTAATGATATTAGATGGTTGGAGGCAATCGGAAGGGAGCCTTCGACCTAGGTTTGCTAGTTGGCACTCATCAGCGAAGCGTATCTGCAACCTTGAAGGAACTCATGTCCCTTCTGAGATTCGAACCCACATCACCCAGTGCTGCAGTCAGAGACATTACCACTGAGCTATTCGGGCTCGTGATTGACCTCCTGTAGGACTGTAGTGTGTATTTTGATTGGATACTAGTAACTAGTGTGACGTGTTTAATCCTCTCTTTGGTGCAGACTGAATTCTATCAATCAGGTTTTGCAATGTGGCCACCATTCTATTTATAATGATTATTTTGTCTAGCATTCCGCTACAGTGTTTAATTCTTTAGATCATGATATAATAAAATAAAAAATAAAAGAAAGATATCATGAAAATAATACTTGATATATTCAATAAATCCTGGAAAAAATCCGAGTTACCATTGCTTTATGACCTTTTCCTGTTACTGTCCTTATATTTTGCATACATGCCACATTATTATTTCCTTAGGTTCCAGGTGGAACATGGGGTTCCAACAGCACATCTCCAATTTATCCTCTTTTTTATATAGTCTAATTTAGCTGGCTCCACGGCTGTCCATAAGCTCTCATCTTTCCTTACGCGATCTCCTCGATTTCATTTGTCGTTCCCTTTTCTGAATTTCATTCAAATGCCTGGCGATCAGTGTTACTCAGCCGCCTCCTCAGCGTGTGTTCAATAAATCTCCACTTTACTTCAGCACATTTGTTCAGCATATAACATCCATTTACAGTCTATTAAGTAGGCTATCAGCATAAATTAATCAAAAGTGTTCAAATTGTATACTAATATTGATTAATTAGTTTATAGATTCTTCTCTCTTATATATTAAACATACACACTTTACCATACCATTCAAAGACTATGGGCTCATTTACTCGAGATGATAATACCTATTCATCTAAAACACTTATAGGCCAATGGACGGAAAAACGTAAAGTAGAACAGGTGAATTTCCTTTTATTAAAAATGAATTAACTTATCTATTATCAACCGAAAAAGAAAGCTTTTTGATATCCTCTCTTATCATAAATATATATTATGATTTTTTTTCACTTTTAGGATCGTATTGAAGATTTTCTTGAAAGATGTAAAAGAGAGAATTTAGCTATTCAAAAAATGACAAGATTATATCAAAGTATAATGCAGGATGTAAGTGAAATTAATGCGAATGATTATTTTTAATTTTTTCTTTTAAAATAATGTTATTTGTCATGATTTAAAATCTTATTTTTGCATGACATACTTTCTAGTCTCGATGAGATGAATAATGTCCTTCATGTACTATATTGAGGAAAGAGAGAGAGAGAGCGCACTAAACAGTCTTTCCTGGCTACTCTCGTACTTTTTTTCAGTACACTTTCATGACCCAAGCAGAGATAAACTCAGGACCTTCAGGTCACGAGGTTTGCATGTTACTAATCATTCACTGCATTTCAGTGTGTCTAAATTCTTGGATATGACTCGCGGCTGGTTGTAGAATTGAAATGCTGATGAGTCCTGAAGTAGGTTGAAGCCGGAACCTAGGACCCTTTGGTTTTCTAATTGGTATTCGTGTGTGATTAAATCTGCTTTGAGCAGTGTTAGAGTTTTTGTTCTACGATTCATGTTACATCAAGCAATATACGAGGTATCAGTAAGCATAAGCAAGACGTGTGATGTTAGGAAGTTAACTTAATCAATTCTGTTGTGAAACTTTATTGGTTGATGTTACTTGGATATCTGTCAGACATATCTAGCCGTCAGTTCCCTTCACGTACAATACGAAACAGGATTGAGTTGTATAAATAAGAATGTGAATGGGTTCAGACAACAAGTTACTGACAATAAATCTCAACCGTGTGTAGAAGTAAGAATTGCCTCTGTAGTGTCCTAATGACATTAAGAATATGTGGTCGCAAACTGTTTGTTGAGTTATTCAGAAGTGTTTACAATGACACACATTATCTTCTTGTCGTTTTCCAGAGTTTTTAAATCTTTATTTATTTACGCTTAATTATTCTCTCCGTCAAATTCCTACTATACTATTTTGCTATCATTTTTTTTATTCCTTCACGTTCCCAGTGGAACATAGGGCTTCAAGCTAGTGGCTTGAAGTTTCTGTAGCAGTGTGTTCATTTTTAAGGGATGGAGTCGCTAGTCTCATGCTCAACCTTTCTTCTTTACCAGTCTGATTATTGGCTTAGTGATGTAAAGGAGTGCGTCGGCCGAGGATAGAACCCCGGACCATGTGTATGGTCGGCGAGCGTCCTAACCTCTGTACCACCGACAAAGCATTTGTCGGGGGTGGGATTCGAACCCACGCCCACATTGTGGATCATTAGGCTTCCTATATCCACTTTATGCGTGCTTCTTCAAATTATATCGACCTGACTAAGCTTTGTATAAATTTCTGAGGTTTTTGCTCTATGAGGGAATCGAATCTTTCAGTGCTTCAATAGTAGGATGTCTACTAGCTGCATTTGTGGTCCAGCTTTGTTTCACTGCCAACCAACTACGAAACTTTGACGATAAAATTCTGGATATTAGGCTTACAGTTCCACCACTTGGACTGCAGGAATAAAAAAGATGAGTTAATTGAACAACTTATATTATAATGCTTAAAAATACCTGAGTTTAATGTAGAATATGGTTTCAGATTCTAGCTATTCTATATTTCTACAATGAGAAAGCCAAATGCCTAGTGTTTCTACTGTGTTGCTTTTATTTTTTTCCTATCACTGACTTTATTTAAGAATAAATCCAATTCGAAATATGTTTTCCCTACTTTAGGTTTAAATAAAAAGTTTCTAAGGGGTAAAGCAGTTGGTAAATAAACAGTACAAGTAAAATAAATCGTTAATTTGTATTCATCAATAACTTTGAGAAAAGGATACCGTTTATGGGGTGAGTGAACGCGAGTGAGATACTCTAAGATCTGGAACGAGTCATTCTTATTGTAAACTGATTTACTCTTTTTTTTGCTTTGCCCTCTTCTATGATCACTGTTGTAGAGTTTTTGGACTCTGACCTTGATCGATCATGGATGATTTCAGCCGTTATTGTCGTATGGATAGTACTGAACCAGTTTTAAATACAACGAAAGGTTGCTTTTTTGTAGACTGATTGCATTTATGGTGCATTGGTCAGCGTCACTCCTTAATACAAATCAGCTGAGCATAATTCACTCCATACAAAAAAATGTATCATTTCTATTGGTTAAATTTTACTGAGCTACACAAAAACATCTTTTTCATTCGTCAGCTTTCCGGATGGAACTCAGTCTCCCAACTTCAAGCTTCTGAAGTTATATTGTTGGTGAAGTTGTTTTTATACAGGTGCTCCGTCCTCCTTTATGGCTGTGAGACTTAGCCATCGAAAGTGAAAGACATGAAAAGCTTGCTAGCTATGTTTGATCATAGGTGCCTGCCTTCTATCTCCAGTGTGAAGTGGTATAATAAGGTGAGCAATATTGAGGTTAGGCGTCGAGTTCTAGGTAAACAGGGGAAATCAATCGACGACGTTGTGAAGTTACAAAGACTGAGATGGTAAGAACATGTGTTACGTATGCCTAGTCATCGCCTTCCTCGACAAGAGGCAATGTTAGTGGATATACGGTCAGGCTGGAAAAGAGCTAGCGGTGGTCAAACAAAACATGGAACCAGTCAATGAAATCTACTACTGTTAGCCTAAGTCACGTAGGAAGGTGTAGACTTCCTGACTGGTTGGGGTCCTCGAGACGGTAAAAACCAATGGTTGGAAACAATCGGTGACATGGCTCAAAATCGTTCTCAATGTCTGGCGCAGATGCATCCACTCCTTGTGACTTATGATTTCCAATGAAACTGTTTTGTTCTTCGTTACTACTATTCCTTTGTCTCACACCTCTGTTTACTGTCTCTACTATGCATTTCTTCTACTTTCTTCTGTTGCTTTGTGTGCTACATGGACGGAGTGTGGCGACTTGAAGTGCAGCAGATATGTGTAAAGTTCTATGTCAAAAACAGACAGAAAGAGATATAGCGGCGAGGTTGCCAGCCTCCTCTCCCTGCTTACTATCCGCTGGTAATCGAACTCTGACCAAATGTGTGTGGTTGGCGAACATTCTAACACTGAACCCACAACGCATATAAAGTCTGATATTTTGATCAAGTTCGGTCTGAAAATAAACCATAAGTGGTTATACACCTCTTCATGGACATCTCTCATGCCTAAGTTATTGGCTATATATATATATACATATATATCATGGCTGCCTTCTGTAAATACTTTTTCCCTCCACGCTACTGTCTATCCTGAATTAAGAGTTGTAAGTGGGAGATCAGGTAGCTGTTTGTATATGATGGTTGGAGTAAACCAGCGATTATTTGATCATACCACCCGTTTCTTCGCGGTGGCCCTATTCAGCTCAACGTAATGCAAGTATAAAAAGTGCTGACATTTCTAACACAATCAGCCAACATAATATGAATTCATAAAGTTTATTTAGAGATTTACCGACTTCTGTAGATAAGATAAACAAAATTAATGAATGAATTAGAAAGAAAAAAAGCACACAAACAAGCCGAGTCTCTATGTAAACAACAATGCGGGTAATTCATGCACGAATATCATCTTCTACAGAAATGAGGACACTTAATTATCGATTACATCAATTATATAATGGTTAAAATATATGACTAGAACTCATAGACATTAGAAGCAATAGCATCTTCATGACTGTTTCTTTTCTTAACTGTTCATTAAAATCATGCCTCGAAAATAAGACAATAATTGATGACTCCAGACTTGAAACTCAGCATGATTTGACTACATTTCGCTTTGATTGTGATTGTAAGGATCTGAACACACAATTATACTAACTAATTTAAGCGTGTGAGTATTTATGTGGGATGTTGGAAAATGGATCAGAGTTCATAAAGAAATACATGGTAATTACATTATCTAATTTTATTTAAAGCAGTTAAATTCAAAAATGAGTATAATTTGTTTACATTGATTGAAAAAACAAAATAGTAAACAAAGAGTGACGTTATAATCGTTTGGAAAATCAAGCAGGCTTTAGACCAGGTAGAGGGTGCATAGATCATATCTTCACTCTCCGACAGATTCTAGAACACAGACACACTTTTCGGCGTCCAACAATTGCCATATTCCTCGACTTGAAGGTGGCCTTCGACTCCGTGGTACTATGGCAATGTCTGACTGTGAAGGGAGTGCCAAGAAAGTGCATTGCACTAATCAAGGCACTCTATTCAAACTCACGTAGTCGTGTAAGGGCTTATGGGGAATCGCCATCTGAATTGATAACAACCAGTGGTGTCCGACAGGGATGTCCACTTTCCCCATTTCTGTTTAACTTCATCATAGATATGCTAATGAAAGTATCCTTAACTGAACGTAATGACTTAGGAATCGACCTGTTACCAGGAGATAGTCTTATGGACTTAGAATATGCAGATGACATAGTCCTGTTAGGGGAGGATGCTGACAAAATGCAGAGTTTTCTGAACACCTTGAGCTGTGCAGCAATCTTCGTATGTTTGGCATGCGATTCGCCCTGTAAGATGTAAGATGCTGCTACAGGACTGGACTACGTCAACTCCTAGCTTAGTGATAGGGAGTGAAGTGATAGAACATGTTGACTACTTCACCTATTTGGGAAGTTGTATCAGCACCGACGGACTAATCGGACCAGCATGGATCCAAAAAGCTCGAGTTGCTTTTGCTGACTTAATAATAATAATAATAATTTTTTGCTTTATTCCAAAAACAGTACTAATGATACAGCAAGGAATTTTCAGCATTCAGTACAATATTGCATCTAATTTACTCAAAAACGACAAAAAAAATTAAAAATACACATTACATAATAGTAATAAAACGATTGTTATAGCAGCTACATAGCAAAATACTGTATGCCATACGGAGAAAAATATGCATAAAGTACAAAATTGTAGTAATAATAGTAATACCAACTAAAATAAAATAGCAGAGTAAGATTTAAACGATAGAAAGTGTGACACCATAAAATACAGAAAGATGAACGATAAAAGGGTCGATTCACTGTGCTAATTACATAGTAACTTGTAAGTTTCACGTCTAACAGAGTCTTCGTCACATAAAGTACGCGCTAAATAGGGTATTGTAGAATTTCTATACTTAGTGTTACG